CTGAGGATTACATTTCACACCTGTGATGAAGAGGGTGCTACAGTAGTCTTAAAAAGCGTATGCCATAATAAATTTGTTGGTCTTTAAGATGCCACAGGACTCTCTGCTGGTTTTACTTATAATAGGGCTTCACACATGTTGAAAGTGATATATAAGATCATGGATTTGACTACAAGGCTTATTCTTCACTGTCCATTTGTTTGGCAGAGAAGAAGGGCCAAGACTTATCCTTCACTACTCAGTTGTTCAGCAGAGAAGAACAGCGCATATCTCTTCTGTGGCTGCATAGAAGGATAGGAAAGAGCCCCTCTCAAGACTTCCTCTTTAGCAGCCTCTTAGTAGGGAGGATGTGGGGCAATATAAGCAAGAACAAAATATAATGGTGCTTCTTCATCTTAAATACATTGGAGAAACCAGGCTGTTCCAACATATGATGGGAAACTTTCATTTCAGCCACAGATTTGCTAAAGACAAGGGTTATCTGTCACCAACAGAAAATAAAGAGGACACAAATAAAAAATGCCAACATATTTTTATTATTTTATGCATTATCTACAAGGCTGAGGAATAAAGAGTAGCTCAGGAAAGTGAAGAAGTTTTGTTTGGCATCTCATGCCTGATTGTGTCACTGAGGTGATCTGGGCTGTACCATTTCAGCTTCCAGGTGGGGCCTCACATGATTGAATGTTCCTCCATATAAAAGAAAATCCCTCCACATGGAATATTAGAGATCAGAGAGTTCTAGTCTAAACATCTACATGCCATGCTAGTTTTCTAATTACATATATATATATATATATATATATATATATATATATATATATACACACATATATATATATATATATATGGAGTAACATTCAGTCATGTGAATCCCCAACTGCAATGGTATGAACCCCCAACTGCATTCAGAAGTGGTACAACCCCAGCAACAGGTTTCCCACCTCAGTGAGAACTAGGCCAAAGAAGAGACAGGACCTTGAATTTCACCTAATGTGAAAGTCATATGGAAACCCAAACCCAGCTTTGCAACCTTTTGAGCAATGATAGCTGCATCTGAAAATATTGCTGTGTGTAGGCTGTTCGTTAGTAGCCTGTCCCACTGTTTTGTGGCTTTTACCTCTTGCTTCTAATTACTGTATTTGTATGTTGTCCCTAATGGCGTCAAAGCTGTTTACAAAGGAAGTCAAACGCAATCAAATACAGTATATAAGAGAACTAAAGTAATGAATGCAGTATGCAAAACATCAGAATCCATAAAATAAGATTCCGCTTGCTCAGTATTTCTGTTCCCTGAATATCCACATGCCCATACCTCCGTTAAACTATGTTTGCACACATTCACCCATAATCAAGCAAGAACACATGCTCCCTCACTCTCAACAATTATTGAACTCAACAGTCACCTAGTTACATATACAAAAGTCTGCACGACACTGGCAAACTAACGCTATGAGGCTAAAACCAAATATAATCCCAAATAAAAACCTCACACTGTTCATCCAAACACTCATTCCCATTCCCTTCAGATGTTTCAGGCTGCAATTCCTATCAGTCCCAGCAATCAAGGAGGATGGAAATTGTAGTGCAACAACACCTCAAGGTCACTAGGCTACTCTTGCCACTGGTTTATTGTTTGTGGCTGAGAAGGCAAGCTGTCCCTGAGTCCTCAGCCACCAGTTCCTAGCTCCCACATGAGAAGCGGTCAGACTCCAACCCCTAACTGCCAGCAGCCCCACACTGTCACCTTGGACAGCACCATACGTCCCTACATTCAACCAAAGCACAATCATAAGGAGCAGAGTGGGGCGCCTCACCTTCATAGAACCTCAAAACCATGACAGCTCTTTTCAACTTTCTGGGCAGAACTGGAAAGTCCATTTGCCCTCTCCATTGGTTCTTGCTGACCAGTGATGCTGATATTTGGACCCATGCTTTATACAGCAGGGGGCAGCAGCTTGTGGACTGCTTGTAAGCTTCCTGAAGGGTCTGGCTGACCAGTGTTAGAAACAGGGTGCTGGATCAGATGGACCTCTGGTCCAAACCAGCAAAGATATTATATTACAAGGTCAGTTATTAATATTGTATGTGACTCTTTTGGTGGTGCTCCATAACTGTCCATTCCTCTCTACTTTCACTATTGGCTGTTTCCTATATTAGCATGGGAGTTTTCTTTGGAAACTGGGGTGTGCTGCTTCAGTGCATCTGTTCCCTGCAAAACACAGGGCTTTTGGATGATTGCTCACAGGGTCAAATGAGGGCCATGAATCAGGCGAGGGCCATGGCTTTATCTAGACCTGAATTAAATGCTTCTTTGAAGTGCAGCATGCTGAAAACAGTGCTCTGTTAGGTAGGACACCAAGCTTGGAAAATCCAGAAGTCTTATCCTGCCTGCCAGACACAAGAGACAATGTTACACACCTCTTGAAGATGGTCTGAGGCTTGAACATACCCTAGGAGTAGCCAACGTGGTACCCTCCAGATGTTGTTGGACTACAACTCCCATTATCCCTGAACTCTGATGGGAGGTGTAATCCAAAACACCTGGAGGGCACCAGATTGGCTACCCCTGGCACACATCATCTGAGTCACGCACTAGGCTAGGTCATTAGAAATTGTGGATCAGTTACTACCACATTGGTGGAGTGCTGACTTTCCTAGAGCAAAATCCAGACAGTGTCCTCATCAGAGACAATCTAGCATAAAGGAAAGACTGAACCAGCTCTCAGAATAATACTGTTGGAAAGGATCTCAAGCATCCAACCAGCTGCTGGTGCAGGAAATGTACTGCTACATCCCTGATGTTCTTGGATGTATCTTGAAGAAAATGCCTGGTGAAGGCACACCTTAACATTTAGAGTTAGATGCATATTGAATCAGCCGTCTGGACAGATGTGGAACAGCATTGTTGTTCAACTCATGTATTCTGATATATCTTCTCAGAAATATGACTACAAAAAGTATATCATTTTGGAATGGCAGTGTTTTTAGCATGCGGCTGTCAGTGAGGAGCTCAGATCAATAACAATATTCATAATGCCCATTGTTACTGGAGCTACAGGTAACTCACAACTTATGTGCATTTAACTTGTGTGCATTCAGCTTTATGTGCTTGGGAGGGATTAAAACGGGGGCAGGCAGGCAGGAAAAAAGACTTCGGCAATCCCACCCGCCGTTGCACCCAATGTATTTTGACTATACACAATTGTGGCTTTATGTGCTATCCCAGGAATGCAACCTCCACGTAAATTGAGAGTCACCTGTACTGTCTGCACCTCCATAAAAAGCTTAATTTGCAAATAGGTTGTTGAGGTATCACAAACAAGTTGTTGGCAACAAGGTTGAGCCCTTTTATCAGATTCTCCCTGTGAGGATAAGAGGGGTTATGTATACTGCCCTGAATTCCTTGGAAGATGTGTGTGATGAAAGTCTAAAAGAAGGGAATGGAATGATTAGAATAAAACAACAACAACAAAAACCACAACAACAACCACCACCACAACAAAATAGTGTCCTTAAGGGGGCATCCTATCCCTACCTTTATGCCAGCTGAGAGGCCCTGGGAAGCAGTGGGGGTGCTACCTTTCTATGAACAGAATAACTTATAAACCACCAGAAGTCCCCCAGAACCACCACCCTGTGACCCTTAGGAATGCTCTGCCCAATGGCTTTTAGGGTGGTCACTTTTGGTAGAATTATTGTGCAGCTCATTTGTGAATTTGAAAATACATTTTTCTCCCCAGTTAGCCCATTGACTATGAGTACTGTGTAAAATGTGGATGTGAGATTATTATTTTTTAAAGAAAGCAACAGCATGACTCTATTGCCCTCTCTAGCACTGACCCACAATTTTGCAGATGTTTAGCTTCTTTTTAAAAGGGCGTGTTCCCATCCCCAGAATGCACAAAACTTGCCTTTCTTTTTTTACATGGAAACAGAGTATCATATTGGTTTGGCAGTAGTGTAAATAGAGCTCTGAATGAAAATAAAACCAGGGTTGTTGTTTTTCCTATTGCCTAAAAAGTTTGCAAAAACTCCACTGGGGTTCAGTACACAATTAGGGCCAAATCACTGGGTCATTTTTTTAATAGTGAAGCTACCCAAACTTCTGAATTTGCCAATACTGAGAGTGTAGCACCCGTCACACAGCGTATGTGTAAAAAGATTTATTAACAGGAAGCGGGGCCATCCCGTGGCATCACACGAGGGGCTGACTCTCAAGCATGGGTGTCTCTTAGAGGGGTCGTTAAAAGCCCACATCTGCAAAGGGAACCCTGTTTGTGCAGTCTGCCTATACTTATCTAGGCATGTACCCCACTACAGGGGCTTAACACGGAGGGCCAATGACATGAACAGTATCAGGACAAGGGTCAAAAGTGTGGCCCCTGCTTCCTGTTAATTTCAGACTCACCACACTCTAAAAAGCTATCCAAAAGAAGATTGAGCCAGGAAGAGGCATCATGACCTTGATGTGTTCGGGAGCATTCTAAATGCCCCCCACCCCTATATTGTGGAGGCTGCACTTCTGCACAATTGCCATTTTTTTAAAAAAAGGTTACATGAATTGGCCTTGGGGTGGGGTACAGATTTTATATGTTGTTGTTATTTTTTATTATTGAATTTTTAGACCAACTTTATTTCAAGGTACAAAAGTGGGCATATGTGATTGTCCCCCTTCCCATCACAACTGCTCTGTGAGTTGAGAGACAAGGAGTGGCCCATAGTCAACCAGTAAGCTTCATGGCTGAGTGGAGATCTGAACTCTGGTCTCCCAAGTCCATATCTACCAGGGCTCTTCAGCTTATCTTTGACGTACATAGAGGACATGCTAATGGTTTCTTCTCTCTTGCCCTTTGTCCACAGGTCTGAGTAATATAATTGGCATCATTGTGTACATATCAGCCAATGCTGGAGACCCCTCGAAAAGCGACTCAAAGAAGAATAGTTACTCTTATGGTTGGTCCTTCTACTTCGGGGCCCTGTCATTCATTATAGCCGAGATGGTAGGAGTGCTGGCCGTACACATGTTTATTGACCGGCACAAACAGCTGCGTGCCAGTGCTCATGCCACAGACTACCTCCAGTCCTCTGCCATCACCCGCATACCCAGTTACCGCTACCGCTATCAGAGACGCAGTCGCTCCAGTTCCCGTTCCACCGAGCCTTCACACTCCAGGGATGCCTCTCCCGTCGGGATCAAAGGGTTCAACACCCTCCCATCAACGGAGATCTCGATGTATACCCTGACCAGGGACCCCCTGAAGGCTGCCACTACCCCCACCGCCACCTACAATTCAGACAGGGATAACAGCTTCCTCCAGGTTCACAATTGTATCCAGAAAGAAAACAAGGACTCTATCCACACTAACACAGCCAACCGCCGGACCACCCCCGTATGAAGCCGTCGAGAGGGGCTGAAACATGGGGGGGGCTGGGAAGGTGGGAGTGGGACTTGGGTTCAGGATGGGAGGGAGCAGTAGGGGTGGGCAGGGGGAGAGGAGAAAGCAACCATGGGGAAACCTTCCAAAAGCAAAAAAATAAAAAAACCAGAAAAAAACCAGAAAACAAACTTAAGTGAAACACCTGAAAAGAAATGACAAAACGTTTAAAAAAAGGGAAAAAGAAAAAAAAACTTCAAAAAAATCAAGAGAAAGAAATTTAAAAATATAAAAAATAGAAAATAAATTTAAAAGAAAATGCATGATTTCCCATGTACCATTATTTTAACATTTAATAAAAACAGATTTAAAAAAAGGAACCGAGAAATAACAACAAAAAAATTAATTAAAAAACCAAGCGGGAAGAGGAGGCAGCTCTTTGGATTTCTGGGGGGTTTTACTCTTTACTTTTTCAGTTTGTTTTCTTTTCACTTTTAACCCACTGTGGACTTGCAGGTTCTTAAGGATCTCCAGGGACAGGTGGTAACAAAATGCAGTGCTTTCAGTGTCCTTGTGGATGCCTTTGTTGCACATGCACTGGAGCCTGCCTAAGCTTACCAAACCCCCCGGAGTGACGAGTGATTCGACATGTTCCTGTGGGTCCACAGGGCTTAACAGTGACCTTCCTGTCCTTGGGGATTTGAGGGTTTAATGCTGATTCACTGATCTCCAGGTCTCAGGAAGCTAAGGCTGATCAGCTCAGCCTCATCAGCCTGTGACTATCCTGGGGGTTAACAGTGACATTGCAAAAACAAAAACAAAAAAAGCTTCATAAAAAAGTGGCAATTTTTTAATAAAACAGAACCAACTATAAATAAATGTAAATATAATAAGTGGATTTACTTGCAAGAAAGCCAGATAGTATTTTTCTTTTCATTTTTCTTTTCCAGCTTGAAAACTGTGAAAACTAAAATCTTAGGGGTTGAGAGGCTTCTAAAGAGAAAATGGAAACTGAATCCATTTGAAAACAACAAAAACTTTTTAAAAGACACCCAGAACTTGGCCACTTGGTTGGTGTGGGTCGAATTCCCTCACGGGCCATGAGAATGTTGGGCCAGGAAAAAGTGGGGGGGGACATCTCTCCCCACAGAGAAAAGGCTGCTGCTATTGCTGGGGCTGCAACCTCAAACACAGAACAAGGACTAGATGTTAGTATGGAGACTTCTGCTCATGTTCCCTGACAGGCAGGCAAAACATGCTATCCCCTGAACTCACTCCCAGGCTTAAAAAGAAGTCAACAGGCAAAATGGCTGCTGCTTGTCTCCCGTTGTCGGTTTCATTTACACTGCTAGCTTTCCTGGTGTGTGGATAGCTCTCGCCGGATTAATTCAATGCCCCTCTCATGAACACCTGACACACCGAATCAAGACACAGTCCCCATGCCAAGTACATAACTGCAGAAAAGTTATTCCCTGACTTCATTCTGTTGTCAGTGCCAGCTGGCTGTAGGGCCCAGCCAGTCAAAAGCTGTAGGCTTAGCCTGCCTTACGCAGAGACACCTGCCTGTAGGGTTGCTGTAATCAAATATGGGACAGCTTGGCCTCCAGACCTTTAAGAGAAGGTGCCGTTTTCCCCACCCGCCATTGCAGCAGCAGTGATGGGAGAGAAAACCGCAACTGCTCAGATTCTGCTGCCGCTATGTTACATAAAGTCAGACGGGCCAAGTTGTCCCATGTGGGAGCTGGCAGCTTTGCAAGTCTCAATTGAAAGGGAGAGAGGCAGGATCCCTGAGGCTCAGCCTCTTTTTGGGGACCCATTTTACCCTCTTTCTCCCCAGTCTAACCCCTTCCTCTCACCAAAGACACCCATGGCAGAGAGAAAAGGTCGTCTTGAGATCTCTGCCACAGGAAGTCTGCCAGAAGGATTATGGGGTAGGAGTCTTTGGGGGAAGCGATGATACAGAAGAGCAAGGGGGCTGCATAAAGGGTTGGGGGGGGCATGAGCCTTGTCTTTCTTGGGCCCAGCATTTCCCTCAAAGGTCTATAGGTCCCGTCCCCCCCGCACCTGCTGTCGGTTATGGCCATAAAGAGTCACTGCAAAACTCTACCACAGACCCACAGCTAGGCCTCACTAGACCCTTACCTGGAAGGGGCTCCTGTGCCTTTAACAGCCAAGTCATAAGGAGGTGGTTGGCATGTCCTGTCCCCCCCACACACACACACTGTGGCACTTCTTATATGTCTCTCTTGTATATGCTGCTTAGCACACGTCAGAGGAAGGGATACATTTTAGAGTTCCAGAGATAAGCCTCCCATCTCGACTTTGCTGACAGGCCTAGAATACCCACAACCCATCTTTCCCCCTTGCTCACCCCAGTAGTTCCCATCCACATTCATTCTGGAGTGAAGGCATAAATCCTGTAAGGCAGTTGAGAGGCTGGGTCTTCCTGGTGACATGCCCAATTCTACTTCCTCGCTGCTTGGCCACTTAAGGCTTACATTCTTGATTCCACTGCATCTGCCCCTAGTTTACATCTGTGAAAAGCAAGCATATACATAGCACACTCCCTCCCTAACCTACACCCACACCCACACACCCCATCACAGACACCCAAATCACCATTGTGTACATAAGGGCCATTCATTTTTTCACTGAAGGGAAATGGTGTGCTACCGCTTTTACTTCGGTTCCCTTTTTAACACTGTTAGTGACAGATGGGGAGAGCAGGATCCCAACAAAGGTAGCAAGGCAGACAGTGCTTACAGCTATGGCGTTGAATTAGCTTTGAGGTACAGCTCTGGCTTGGGCCAAAAAAAGAGAGATGGAGTGAGCTCTCCATGGTCCTAAGAGGCCAGAGCCCTTTCCATTACCTTGAAGGAACAGGATTTGGGGCTGAGGGTTTTGCTGAGTGGGGTCCAGTCATTCCTCTTGGCACCTTTAGGCTCTCGCCTGGCTCTTCCTGTTCAAACAAGTGCTGCTCCAATTCAGAGAGTCTTCACTCCCCCAGCTGCTGAGCTACTGATGGAACTGAAACGGGGTCCGAAAAAGCAGCCTGCACTACCCACCCAACTAGTGCTGCCTTCCCCCTACTTTTCTTCTCTTTGAGAGGAGAGTTGAGTCCTTTTCCAGGACAGGGTTGTGTAGGGAAGCAGCAGGTGGGGCGCTGAGCCAGTGACAGAATGCATTCTCCCCAAGGCTCAGCAGAACAGTCCCTCATGGCTGAAGGGCCTAGATACAGCTTGACCGACATTATTTATCCGTATGGAACACCCCATTTTATAGTGAATGTCTAGAACTCCTGCTTAATCCCAAGCCTCAGCCTGCAAACCTGTAACAATGAAAAGGGCAGAAGGGGGTAAAATGAGCCAATATCCAAAGCCCTGGAAATGTGTTTTTAAAAAAACTGGTTTTGTGTTCTCCAGCATATGCAGAGGGTGGTATTTTGGTTGAAATCCCAAAGCTGCTTTCGAGAACTTGATTCCTGTGGAGTTCTCTAGCATTTCTGATTGAATAAAAGATGAATGAGAAATTGTGTGTGTGTTAATGAGTGTGCGAGTGTGTGTGAGTGTGTGAGAGAGAGAAACAAGTAAGAGAGAGGGAGGAAAGGAGAGGGAGGACTAGGACTGGTGAGGAAATTTTTTTTCCAAGGATACTGCTTATGTTCAGCTCAAACCAGTTCAAGAAACAAACCTCCATTTTCTTTATTTTGTGTTTTTTTTCAGACTGTTAAACAGAAAAATTTTAAAAAGAAGAAAATTACAAAAAAAAAAATCCTGGTACATGAAATAAAGATTTTTTATATATATCACTTTGTCCTTGTTTATGTGGGTATGTTTGGTGGCTTGGAGCAATGGATTTTCTTTTTTCTTCATGGAGAAATCCCTGAGGAAAGACAGTGCAAATAGAAGTGAATGGAAGCCATTTTGTCTTGGCTGAAGACCTGAAAGACAGCAGTCCAGTTTTGCTCTTAATCTAAAGAACCGAGGATGGAAGATGTAGAAGCAAGAAAAATGAAGAGTGTAGGGAGAATGGGGCATTACTGTTTTCTGTCTGAAGTAAACGTAATTCACTGGACTTCCTTGGTCTTCTCTGGCAGACAGGAGTATTATGGATATTTTTAGATTTCCACTAAAATATCCAGTTTTCACAATATAGTGTTTGATTGTTTAGAGGAATATTGTTGTTAAAGCACCTGTTCTGCATGGGCCCTGAACCTGAGGTGGTCAGTACTGCCCCTTTATGTCCCTGTTCCATTAATGCCTCAGGAAAATTTCTACTGTTGTTATATATAATTATTTTATAACCTTTTTCTTCTGCTTGCCCTCACTAGAACTGTGGTTTACTGAGGCTGAGAAAGAAGTTGAGAAGAGCCCACAAAATGAACCAAGCCTCCCAAATTTAAAATTGAATTGCTTCTGTTATATAACAGCTTCTATCCCACCTTATTTACAAATGTTTCAAGATAGCTCAGGTTAAGAGGACATAATAAATCACCTCAATACTAGTATTTTTAATAATGATGATGATAAAAGCAGTAGTAGCACACAACGTAAAATCAATAATCAAAACACAGAGCCAGTTAAAAACAACAACTCACAAACCAAAGGAACAAATATAAGTACAATGTTCAACTCAGATGCCATTCAAACTCTGAAAGAACATGTTGTAGTACCAGGAACACCTGCTTAGAGATGTTGTTCCATAATTTAGGTGCCACCACTGAGAATGCCCTCTTCCAGAAGCCACCCACATAACCTAAGAAAGATGGGGCACCTGGAGGAAGATCTCTAATGGAGAGTTTAATTCTAATTAGATACATGTGGAGAGAGGCAATCCTTCAGATATCCCATTTGACTAGATCATACTGACAGAGGTATACCCGAAAGAGATGCTCCTCAGATTCTATGCTAGTTGTCAAGATCTCAGGGATCTAAGTTTTCATACCGATATGCCATAAAGTAGCATAGATTGGTAAAGTATACTAAATTGTGGCATACATTGAGTTTATTTATTTATTTCCAGGAATACCTTAGCAGGGAAAATTGGGACCCCTGCCAGACCAAATTTGACCTTGCACACCAGAATTTTCTGCCCCTGCTTTACAAAACGCATCAACAACACATTTGACAGGAAATCTAGCTACAGTTTTTCAGCAGAAGACCTTCAGTATCATCCCCCAGAGACTGAAGGAGGTAAGTGTGAAATGGGCAGGATTGGACTTGGAATAAGGAGACTTGGAGTCAACATGTGACTCAAGGCTAGACGAAACATGAGGGGAGTTCATCTTTAAATACGTTTGCTCCCATTGTGCAAAGGGGAGGTTGTGATTTCAAGTTCAAAGGGGTTGCTGAATCTTTCCCCTGACTTCTGACTTCTATTTCATCTGGAGTTTGTTCTACAAAGTCATTCCCCCCCCCCCCCAGCTGGGCTTTGATTATAGGATGTGAGCCTGAGTGGGAGAAAAGCAAGAGGAAAAGTTGTGGTAGCCCTCAGGTATACACTACATGTGTTGTTGAAGCAGACACATTTAAAGGCAGGAATCTGCTGCTATCGTGTAGTTGACTCAAGGACAGCTCCACGTTTGAGAGGGCTTTTTGTGGATTACCCTCTGGAGATATTCCTCCTATTTCAGGGCTTATTTGGCAGTGGTGGTGGGCTAGTGGACCACTGCAGCAGCACTATAAACAGTGCCAGGCAGCTGAGTCTGAGGAGCCATTGAAATTTCCCACAATGTCTCTGAGCAACACACCATTGGGTGGCATTGTGGGAAACTGAAATGGCAGGTGATGCCCAGCTACCTGGTGCAAAGGGGGAAAGGAGATTTCAGTGGGTCGTTCTGGAGCACTAGGGGCCCAACGACTGCCCAAGGGTGCCATGAACTGACACCAGGCCTGATTTGGCCATCAGGCAGGAAGCTTGCTGGGTGACCTTGGGCCAGTCGGCTTCTCTCAGCCTAATCTAACCTCACAGTGTTGTGGGCATAAAAAGCCAGAAAACACAGAAAGTAACACCGCGGAGCTCCTTGAATGATGAGTGGGATACAAATGTGACCAATAAAGCCATTGTGCAATTGTGTTTATTTCTTAAAATCTCATTATTTAAATTGTAACTGGTTTTTATCTTTTTACCAAGATGAAGCTAGATTAGATTTACTCTTCCTTCAGTTTTTCATTTGATCTCTTATTTGAGGAGATGGATCTTTTAATATCACAAACAGTATTAAACTTGGAAATAATTACCAGTGCCTGGTGGCTAGAATCAGTATAAAAGCAATGGTGAATGTAAATTTTCCTAATGTGGTTTCTAGGATAGACTACGAATATGTTATTTAGCTAAGATTCTACACTGAAGAAATATCAAGGGCTTCCTAGCTGGGGGTGGCATTAATCAGACATTCTCATTAAATTCAGTGGGAATTATGCTCAGGTAAGTATGCAGCATGAATATGTTCTTACAGAAACATTTAATTGATTAATTGAACCAATCAATTGATTAAAAATCATAAAAACTACAAAAAAGACTCCTGTTTGATCAGGCACCATTCCATCCATCCATCCATTTATTTGGATAGCAATGTGAATATGCTGATTTTTTGTCAATGAGCTCAAGGACTGTGGCCCAATGGCAGAACACACACTCTTCCTGGCATATCCCGGTAGAACAGGAAAAGACTCCTGTCTGAAATTTTGGAGAGCTGTTGCCTATCAGTGTAGAAGACAATACAGAGCTAGTTGAATTGATGGTCTCACTCAGTATAAGATAGCATCCTGTGTTTACAATGGAAAACAATGACATATAAATCTAATTTGCATGATATGAAAGAGATGGAGAAGAGGAAAATGTGAAAATTCCAGGCACTATTTCTAAACAGTTTTAGAAGCAGCCTCTCTGCTCAACACTCAGTCCAGGGCCCTATTCAGAAGAATGAGCAGAAGGGCTCATCAAATGTGGTAGCGCTGTTCTGCCACATTTTATAATTAGAAAAGTTATGTGCATTACTATATAGAGAAGCAAATACACCCCAATTAGACCCAAAGTCTAGAATTACTGAACTGCACCACTGAGTTGGCTCATTAGCTGACACCGGTCACTTCTATGCAGCTGCAAGACTGCAATTGTGTAAATTCCCATAGGGCTGAACACCATCAAAATGAGCAGGCAAAACTCACAGTTCTGACTGGCTAATGTTACTGTCTCTAAGCAGGTGACAGGCCAACTTTTTATGCATGACAGCTTCTAAAAAGAAATGTCATTCCATACATCTTGGGGTCACCAGGGACAGGGCAACTAGATCCCTCCAGCTATTAATGGAGTAAGGTAAAGGGACCCCTGAGCATTAGGTCCAGTCGTGACCGACTCTGGGGTTGCGGTGCTCATCTCACTCTATAGGCCGAGGGAGCCAGCGTTTGTCCGCAGACAGCTTCCGGGTCATGTGGCCAGCATGACTAAGCTGCTTCTGGCGAACCAGAGCAGCGCACGGAAACGCCGTTTACCTTCCCGCTGGAGCGGTACCTATTTATCTACTTGCACTTTGACATGCTTTCGAACTGCTAGGTTGGCAGGAGCAGGGACCGAGCAATGGGAGCTCACCCCGTCGCAGGGATTCGAACCGCCGACCTTCTGATCGGCGAGTCCTAGGCTCTGTGGTTTAACCCACAGTGCCACACGCATCCCTTTTACTGGAGTACAACTCCTATAATCACTGCCCATTGGCAGTGCTGGCTGAGGCTGATGGCAGCTGAAGTCCAATGACATCTGGAGGTTTGCAGATACCTGACCATTCACATACACACATCTGCAAAAAAAAATTCCAGGATACAGAGGCATATTCTCATTACAGATGCTCCAGGTGATCATGTATAAGTACCATAAGAACTAGCAGTAGAGATCCAGTGGCTAGAGTGGTTTATTGGAGAATATATTATTTACTATCTGTTTTGCTTTCAGCTCAGCACACATTTTGTGGTCCAAGCTATTCTGGCATCACACGCTACTCAAATGACCATTAATGCTTTGATCTGTAGAAAATGTAACTAGAAAAAAGAGACATTGCACATACAGTACTGTACTTTTGTAAACCAAGAAATCTTTAATAAAATATATTTTTTTAAAATAAAAAATCATAAACACAAACAGCTTTAAAACTTTTCATGGAGGCAAATCAAGCAAAAACCCTCATCGGGTTATAAAAATGGTAACGCTTGTATGAAACAATAATAGGAAGAAGTGAAACCACCAATGAATATCAAAGAACTGGGAAGATAAAGCACTTAAAGCAGAGATGGGGAACCTGTGGCCAACCATATGTCAGGAGTGCTCTGATGGTGTTTCCTGCTTGGCAGGGGGTTGGACTCGATGGCCCTTGTGGTCTCTTCCAACTCTATGATTCTATGATTCTATGATTCTATGATTCTATGATTCTATGATTCTATGAACCAGATGTTGTTGAACTACAACTCCCTTCCTCCTTGGACCCTGGCCATTAGCCATGCTGGCTGGGGCTGACGGCAGCTGGAGTGCAACATCTGGAGGGTCACGGGCTTCCCACACTTTCCAGAGAGAAAGGAGAAAACATGATTAGTATTATTTAATAATAAATAAATAAATGAAGGTAGACCGGGGTGCCGGGTGCATGTGTGCTTGTGTGTGCTTCCCATTAGCACTATATTTGTGTTCTCTGCCCTTCAGTTCAGAAAGCATAATATGCTGTCTCCATATAAATGAAGGCAAGAAAGCACCTTTGTTGCAGGGAGAATTGCTACACTCCAGATGTTTGCCACCGCTTGGGTGGGTTCACCACTTCCTTTAGAAGGTTATATGACCACATCTGCACTTCACAAGTGCAGCAGACATGGGCTTAGTATGTGAATAATAATAATACTTTGCTAAATGAAAAATAGTCAAAGAAGTTACCATAGCAAGAGCTGAAATTGTGAAATAATCCCCCTTTCTTCAGAATGGCACAAGATTTGGAATTAATGTTAACATGTTCTTTACTACTGCAACTTCTCTTAACCTTCATAAAATAACCAAAAGGCAAACATCTCTTTATTTGCAGCAGGTGATGACTATTATAATATAATAATAATATAATATAATATAATATAATATAATATAATATAATATAATATAATATAATATAATATAATATAATATAATAAATATAATATAATATAATATAATATAGAATTTCTGCCCACGGGTGGGATCCAATTTGTGTCCTGGTGCTCAGAGAAAGACCTTTGATCCTCCCAACAGCTGTGCTATCAAAAGAGGAGGGGAGGTTGGCAGAACTGTATTTAAAAAGAAGAAAAGAAAACCTCAACAACCCAAAACTGCCCAATGAGGTATTGCCATGGAATATAGAGTGACAGCTAGAAAAGTAAAATGTGGGGAAGGAATGCAAGGCCTCCTTGGAGAGGGTGGCTTGCGAGAATCCTGAAGAGGATGCCCTCCTTGTCAGAGGGAGGACATATGGCAACTCTGTTGCAGGCCCCACTCATCACGGATATAATTCCAAACCAAGACTGCCCTAACTGGTACTACTAATAATAATAATATTCAATGTCTCCTTAGTGGGATCTCTACCAATAGGTGCATAATTGGCCATACCCCTCTGCAACACACAAAGCTTTGAAGAACCTTTACGTAAATGCCTCTGACCTGAATCCCAATGGTATCCTCTCTGATCCGCAGGTTCAAGGATGAAAGAAGTGCTGGGACTCCCAGAGACAGAGAGGGTTAAAGCAGCAGGTTGGCTCCCTGGTCTGACACTGATAGATTACAGTATGTCCTCTGTATTAATAGCACTGCAGTTCTCTTCTCCCATCTCTTGCTCTCTCCTGCTGCATCATGCACAAATCAATACTGGGGCCTCAGATTAAAATTCCACGACTAACTCACTTAGTCACTTATAAACACCATCTCTGCCCCCTGTCTCCCATCTCCTGCCTCGCCATCACTCACCTGTCTTTCATTTTCCTTCCTCACCTTTCTCTGTTCTCCTTACTCTCGAGTCTCAGTTTCAAATGCATGCATTCCCAATGCACCCTCTCAAAGACTTCTGAATAGCTTCTGAATAGCTCCCATTCACTGCTGGAATCAGGGCTATGGGGAACCTAGGCTGCCCCATGGAGGGAGGCCCCTTACCTCTCTCGCTCATAAGCCACATACGTCCTCATCTCAGATATATTTTTTCCAGTCTTCTCAATTCAAGCCTGTGGATCTGACATGCTTATATGCAGCTCAGACACAGCATTAGATATTGGGGTGCAGAATTCACTATTCTGAGAATTCCAGAATTCACTTTATGATCATTAAAAAATATACAGGGAAGGGTCTGAGTCCAGCAACCTTGCCAGGTTGTGACCATCATTCAGAATCAGTCCTGCAAGGCCAAGAACAGTAAAGACAGGAGAGCACGAGCAACTGTCAAAATATACAGAGAATACCTCATCATTTAGGAAATCCTGGAGGAGTATGAATCAAGCAAAGAGAGGTCTAGGAATCTGCAAAAGCAAATCCCGGACTGCTTTGAGAAGTCTCTAGGTGTACAGCATTTTCCAAACCAATGGTGGAAGCACACTGGATGCTGGGTAAACAGGAGTGTGTGCTAAGCCATAGTCTAACCATGGCATAAGCATTGTGCAAGTGATTCAGATGGAAAGCTCAATACACAGGCCTCTATAAATTTACAAGCAATATGCAAAGTCACTGAATGGAAGCTTCAAGGCTGTACCTTGAAGATCTGAAAATCCAGATAAGCAATATTGGCGAAGAGTTTGGCCTATTCCAAGATACAGTGGTACCTCAGGTTGCATACACTTCAGGTTACATACGCTTCAGGTTACAGACTCCGCTAACCCAGAAATAATACCTCGGGTTAAGAACTTTGCTTCAGGATGAGATCAGAAATCGTGCTCTGGTGGCGCAGCGGCAGCGGGAGGCCCCATTAGCTAAAGTGGTGCTTCAGGTTAAGAACAGTTTCAGGTTAAGACCAGACCTCCGGAACGAATTAAGTACTTAACCCGAGGTACCACTGTACTTTACCTCCCAATCACTACCTCTTTTTTTTCTGTTTTCTTCTTGCTGATTTGGTGCATAGCAAGCCCTCTCCAATCCTGCAAGCTGGTATCAAAGCACTAACAAACCCCCCACTGTCCCTTTGATCTGCACATTGGTGAGCTGCCACAGGAAGCCAGTGGGAAGCCTTATCACAGAGCTAATTATAAGCATTCTTCAAGCAGGCTCCATTCTAGGACCACTGGAGATTTCCCTTCCAGATCCAAAGATTTGAATCAGCACAAGCACCCACTACATTACTGTATTGAAAAATACACGTTGCACTTTTAGCTTAAATGGTGAGTGAACATTCATAGCAACAGCCGCCATAAGGTAGGTTAGGCTAGGGGAGACTGTCCCAAAATTACCCAGCAAGATTCATGCCTGAGAACACCAATTTAATCCATATCCATGGCCAGTCCTAGTTTACACACTATCCACTATATCAGGAGTAGGTAAAAGGTAGATTGGGATCTACTGATATATCTCTAGATGCTTGATAAAGATTTCTGCCCCCAAATCTGCCGGAACCATGTAACAAATATTTCTGGTCCCAAATGTGTCGGAACCATATAACACCAATCCTAAAGGATCTACACTGGATTCCAGTATTCAGAGTGTTGGTGTTGACATTTAAAGTCCTAAATGGCCCAGGCCCAGTATTCCTGAAGAAGTGTCTCCACCCACATTGTTCAGCCCGGGAACTGAGGTCCACCTCTGAGGGTCTTCTGGCAGTTAGTTCCCTCACTGCGAGAAGTGATGTTACAGGGAACCAGGCAGAAGGCCTTCTCGATAGTGGCACCTACCCTGTGGAACTCCCTCCCATCAGATGTCAAGGAGATAAACAACTACACAACTTTTAGAAGACATCTGAAAGCAGCCCTTTTTTTAATGATTGATGTATGTCTTACTGTGTTTTTATATTTTGTTGGAAGCTGCCCAGAGTGGCTGGGGCAACCCAGTCAAATGGGTGGGGTACACTCCACAGGCACATACCTCCACATGTGGTGGGAGTGCCCCAAAATCCAACTATTCTGGACAACAGCCATACAAGAAATATGTAAAATAACTAAGCAAGTATTAGAAACCACCCCAGAATTGGCCCAACTAAATATCTTCCAAGACAATAATGCCCATTTACACCACAAAAAACTCATAACCCACCTACTTTCAGCAGCCAGAAACATCATAACCAGACACTGGAGAGACCTGTCAGGAGTAAGCATGGACCATTGGTACCAAATAGTATGGGAAACAGCCTTACTAGATAAATTAACCAATAAACTGAAACTGACACGGGGACAAATAGAAGAAGATGCCTTTACCCCGGTATGGCTCCCCTTTATCACATACAAAGCCCAACAAGACAATGACAGAAATCCACCAACAGCATACAAATCAATATGGCTAACCTGATCCAAAACACCCACCCACCCCACTCACACATGAAAACAAAGATCACCACAGCCATTCCCAAACAAACAACCACACCCTAGGCCAACCCCAACCTCTCTCACCACCAAAGGACACATGTGAATAGCACAGAACCTGCACAAGCGACGCTGACACAAAACCCTACGTAAAACAGAAACATCGCCACCGTTCTTAAACCGAGGTGCGCTTTCCCTAATGAGGCCTACCGCCGCCGGTGCCCTTCCACTGTTCGGATTCCGTTCTTAGACCAAGGTGAAGTTCTCAAACTGGGACACTATTTCTGGTTTTACGGAGTTTGTAAACCGAATCGTTCTTAAACTGGACTGTTCTTAAACCGATGTACCACTGTATTATTATTATTATTATTAAACACGATGATGAGTGAAGCATTTCTATTTCCCAAGAAACTTAACAGAACATTTCAATGGAAGCCCTCCCAGCTATAAACACATGGCTTGCCTCTGGAACAGGGTATCCCCAGAGGAACTATACACAAATCAGCCAGCAATTCACTGCCAGTAGGAAGGCTCCTGGCCTGGGCTGGATGGATCAGCACTTCCCTTCTCCCGCGAAGAGAAACAGCTTGATCTCTGTGCCAAGTGCTGCTTTGTGCACTAACCCCAGAAGGATTCTTGTTAAGGGGTGAGGTAATGGGAACGGAGAGACAAGGAAGTGAGAGTGCCCCAGGGCCAAAAGCTGCGCAGCACAGGCCTCCAGGGTCCCATTCCTCCCAGTAGGCTGGGGCAGGCTCTGTGTAACAGCGATTAATAACGATACTCCGCATTTATAGAGCACTTTTCATGTTCAAAGCTCTTTACAAACATTAACTAATTAATCTGTCATATTAAATGCTGCCTTTAGAGAGCTGTTGATCAAAGCAAGGTCTCCTGGGTAGGCTGCTGAGCTCAAGCTCAAAGGTACGAGGAGACATTCATGAGTGCTGGTCTCTCGCAATGCTTGCCTGGATCTTCAGTAGGGATGGAAGGATCTCTCACCTACTCTGAGTTTCTCATTTTCTCCATCTTGGATTCAGTTCTCTACATTTTGCAGCAAATTGGGGGGGGGTGTTTAAATTTTCATGAAAAACCATGAGCATTGTAATGCAATTTCCCCCTAATAAACAAATTTCATATGCAGTTTTTACTAACTTACACAACATTTGCAAGCAATTCCCCCTA